TCAGCAGCACCACCACCCTCTCTCGCCTCCCGCAAGCATTCCAACCCCCATATACATCAACTCTCTGGAATACCAAACTACCCCAGCTCCCGCCAGCAGCCCCTACCTGATCTCCTGCAAGCATTCCAAACCCAACGCCCCTCAACTTCTGCAACCTCTTCAGCTCCCGCCAGCAGCACCCCAAACCCAACCTACCTCATTTCACGCAAGCTTTCCTCACGCAAACCCACCCCAACTTCTGCAACCTCTGGAACCCCACACTACCTCAGCTCCCGCCCCCATGGGGCTCTAAGAGCGGCCCCCTCCGTCGGAAGTCCACGGGCCCCTTTTCGACTCCCCCACAGGGGGGTCCGCCTCTGGGGGGCAGTTCTGGATGATCTCCTGCGCTCTCTTTGGGCCCCGTTGGGCCGCCTGAAGGAGCCCTCTTGGGGCACTGTTGGGCCACTCTTGGGTCCCTCTTGGGCCCCCAGGGGCGATCCACACCCAACCTACAACTTGTGCAACCTGTGGAAACCAAAACTACCGTAGCTTTAGCCAGCAGCCCCAAACCGAACCTACATCATATCCCACCTCTTCCAAGCCCAATCATCCTCAACTTAAACCCAAACTACACCGGCTCCCGCCAGCAGCCCCAAACCCAACCTACCTCATCTCACACGAGCCTTCCAAACCCAACCTACCTCAACTTGTGCAACCTCAAGACACCCACACTACACTGGCTCCCGCCAGCAGACCCAAACCCAACCTGCCTCATCCCACGCAAGCTTCCCAAACCCAACCTGCCTCAGTTTCTGTAACCTCTGCTAAACCAAACTATACCAGCTCCCGCCAGCAGCCCCGAACCCAACGCACTTCAACTTCTGCATCCCCTGGGAACCCGAACTACATCAGCTCCCGCCAGCAGCCCCAACCCCAACCTACCTCATTTCCGCACGCCTTCCAAACCCAACCTGCATCAACGCCTGCCACCTCTGGAACCCAAACTACATCAGCTCCCGCCAGCAGCCCCAACCCCAACCTACCTCATTTCCGCACGCCTTCCAAACCCAACCTGCATCAACGCCTGCCACCTCTGGAACCCAAACTACATCAGCTCCCGCGAGCAGCCCCAAACCCATCCTACATCATTTCCCGTCAGCCCAAGCCAGCAACCCCAAACCCAAGCCATCATCTCCCATAATCATTCCAAACCCAACCAACCTCAATTCTGCAACCTCTGGCAGCTCCCGCCAGCGGCCTAAAACGCAACCTACCTCATCTTCCGCAAGCCTTCCAAACCCAACGAGCAATCTCTGTAAACTCCAGAAAAAAAACTCAGCTCCCGCAAGCAGCCCCAAACCCAACCTACCTCATCTCACGCAAGCCCCCCCAAACCAAACGACCTCAACCCAAACTACTTGTTGGGGCTGTGGTACCTATGAGGCTTGAGGGACGTGGGACCTGTATAGGGCCTGTGGGACCAGTGGGACCCGTGGGGCCTCTAGGAGCGCTTGAGACCTTCCTCGCACGCCCATTGCACCAACCATCTCTTCTCTCGCAACAACCCAAAACCACCCCCCAAAAAAACACCCACACGCACGCCGATTACATTGCCACACGCGCACGCGCCGCACACCCACACGCACCCCTCTCGAACAACCCACACGCACGCCGATTACATTACCAGAAAAACTGTTCACCAGCCCGCTGGGGGCCTCTCAAGGTACTCTCCGCAGTAGGGCTCCAAGAGGGGCCCCAGAAGGCTCCAAGAGGGCCCCAAGAGGAGCCCAATAACGCAGCATGGGGCGCGCGCGCTTCTGCCACTGGTGTTGCGGCCTCGTCGCACATCGTAGATTGCTTCTGGGCCCTCTTGGTCAGGCGTCTCACAGGTCTTTGCAGGGGCCTTTGCAATGTCGTTGCAGGGGTCTTTGCGGTGTATTGCAGGGGTATATGCAGTGTCTTCGTCTGGGGGAAACTATAGGGAGAAGGGACTATGATGAGTTGGAATAACGAACTCCGCTCATTTCCCTTCGCAAGGTCTTCATCGTCACTGACCCTGCTCGTCCGGGTGATCGCATCGAACTTGCTGCTGTCTTGAAGGGGGGGTATGTGATGTCCGCGCGGTTGCTATTGGAATCGAATGGGCCAGGTATCAAATACGCTGACACCCTACATACGCGCAGGAAGGTTTGGATCACTCCGGACTTTGAAGAGCGCCACAAAGCCTTTGCATCAATTCTCCGGGAGGCGCCTGTCAATGCCAAGGCCACTGGCGCCAAGGTCCACATGACGTTTCTCAAGTCTGACGCTGAGTTCGATGCTGCCAAGTCCAACGCGGTGACCAAGAAGCGGCCTACTTCTGTGCTTGGGATTGGGACTAAGAAAGAATGCAAGGCCTGATGTTCGAAACTCGTCGTCGTCGTCGTCGTCGTCGTCGTCCTCGAACCTCGGACATCGAACCTCGAACCTCGAACCTGGAACCTCAATCTGTTGCGAAGTCTTCGAGATGGCTTCCGGATGCCACTTGCACTTTCTCATCCCCTTCCTCCTGATCCTCCTTCCCACCCGCCTCTTCCTGCTCCCCCCTGCTCTGCCCTCCTGCTGCTCGTGCTCCCACTCCTCATCGCCCTGCTCCTTCTCGTCATCCTCTTCCTACTCTTCAGGCTTTCGCACCCCACTCGGGATACGAATGCTGCGATTCGACAATCGCCTTGCAGGCTGACCCCGCCAAGTTCACTAGCATCACCAATGCGATGCAACTCATGAAGCACATCGACCACGAGTGGACGACGATTGGCATTGCAGGCAAGTAGGCATTTTCGCGGGGATTTCACTGGTGGTGATTCAATTCACGGGTGGTGCTGGTATCACAAGCAGGGGTGATTGTGCACGTCCAGCGCAGTGTTCGATAGGTCCTCCTCCTCGTCCTCCTCCTCCTCAACCCCCTCCTTCTCCTCCTCCTCCCTCCTCCCTCCTCCTCCTCCTCCTCCTCCTCCTCTTCCTCCTCCTCCTCCTCCTCCTCTTCCTATCTTTGTTGTTCCTTCTTCGGCCCTGCAGGGGCGATGTCAATCCTATGCTGTTCCTCCTCCCCTATCCTCCTCCTCCTCCTCCTCCTTCTTCTTCTTCCTGCTCCTCCTCCATCCGGACGGTGTTCCTCCGCCTTCGCCCTCTCGCGTGGCACCTCCCGGAGCTCCGCAGCAGGTGTAGGAGCATTTGCAGGGCCGCAAGAGGGGGCACGAGCAGGGGCAGGATGAGGAGGCGAAGGAATGAGGATAAGGAGGCAGCGGAGGAATGATGAATGAGGAATGAGTTGAGGTCAAAAATGCAGCTGATATATGATTGAGGTGGATGAGGATGAGGCCGACGTCGAGAGGAACTGATATATGATGAGGACGCGAGGATAATGATGATGATGATGATGATGATGATGATAATCATGATGATGATGCTCATGATGATGATGATGAGGAGGAGGAGGATGAGGAGGAGGAGGAGGATTCTGATGATGATGATGATGATGATGATGATGATGATGATCAGGAGGAGGAGGAGGAGGAGGAGGAGGAGGAGGAGCATGATGTGATCATGTTTTTTTGGCGGGGGGGGGGGGGGGGCGATCGGGCATTCGACTTTTGATGAGGATGATGAGGATGATGAGGATTGACGATGACGATGAGGATGATGAGGATTGAGGGGGGGGAGGAGGGGGGGGAGGATGAAGAGGAGGATGAGGAGGACGAGGGGGAGGGGGAGGGGGAGGAGGAGGAGGAGGGAGGAGGAGGAGGAGGAGGAGGAGGAGGAGGAGGAGGAGAAGGAGGAGGAGGAGGAGGAGAAGTTTGAAGGAGGAGGAGGCGGAGGAGGAGGAGAAATACGAGGATGAGGGAGGGGGGGAAGGAGGATGAGGAGGATGATGAGGTGGGAGGGCGAGGAGGAGGCGGAGGAGGATGAGGAGGAGGATGAGGAGGATGAGGAGGATGAGGAGGAGGATTGGAGGAGCAGGCCACGCTGTAACGGGTGGGGTTCAGAAACCCCTCCCTTAGAGTGCCCATGCGCGCACATGGGCGCTGTATCCCCATTCGCGGGGTCACTCCGGGGCGGGCCATCCTGGGGCTACGGCGGTGCCAGGGGGACCTTGGAGTGCATTCGGCGGCGGGGCTCCAACACCGCGTCGCGCGCCCAGATGCTATAAGATGTGGGGCTCAGAGACCCCCCCCTTACAGCAGGGCGGCGGGCCCAAGAATCGTCGGTCATGGCTAACGCCTTGGGGTTATGGCACCCTGGGGCGCGCGGGAAGTCTGTAACCCCCCAAGAGTCCGAGACGACGACGACGACGACGACAACGACGACGGCGGCGACGGCGGCGACGGCGACGGCGACGGCGACGGCGACGGCGATGGCGACGACGACGACGACGACGATGACGACGACCCCCCCTTACAGCGAACCGGCGCGCCCGGAAGGTCTGTAACCCTAAGGTGCGCGCCCGCCACCTTAGGGTCATAACTAAAGTTTTTCGACTAAAGTTTTCGGTGCCCGAGATTCCAGGTCATAACTAAAGTTTTCGGATTAAAGTTTTTGGACTAAAGTTTTAGGGATGTGCACGTCCAGTGGCGCAGTGTTCGATGTCCGAGGTCCTCCTCCTCCTCCTCCTCCTACTCCTCCTCCTCCTCCTCCCTCCTCCTGGTGCCCCTTCCCCCATTGCCATCCTCCCCTCCTGGTCGTTCTCCTCCTCCTCCTCCTCCTCTCTCCTACCTATGGTCTCTTAGGCCTCCCTCCCTCCTCCTACTCCCCCCTCCCCCCCTTGCGCCCGCATCCTCCTCCTGCCTCATCTATCTCCCTCCTCCGCCTCCTCCTCCTCCTCTTCCTCACCCTTCTTCACCTCATCCCCCCTTTTCCTTCTCCCTCTTTCCGCTTCCTCCTCCTCGTCCTCCTCCTCCTCCCTCGACGTCATCCATCACCTGCTGCTGATGGTTCAAGCGATCTACGGCGAGTGGTCTTGACGGCCGCGAAGTTGTGCAGCGATGGTCAAGGCCGTCGTCAAGCGCAAGGCCGATGACCTGACGAGTACGGGGTTGGCGAAGATCAACGACGCCTATTACACCGCCCTCGGCAACGCCGTCAGCCGAGTTTTGCAGAGTGACGCGTTCAAGGATATGCGAAGTAAAGCCCCCTTGACAATCACGCATGGAGGTTCACGAGAAGCTTTCAAGAAGGAGAGCTTCAGAACCGCCCTCAAGAAAGATGACTACGTGACATCGGGGAATGCTGCGTGGATCAACGAGATGTACAACCCGCTCCACGGCGTTCCGCTGAGTTCCACCAGCATCCAGAACATCGCGGACCACAACTACAGGACGCCCAGCTCCGTGGGTAACATCACCTTCGACATCGCAGCAGATTCTCACACTTGGAGTCCTGAGGAGCATAAGGGCGCCCTGAAGCTGGCAGGGCCGATGGAACCATTGCACGCGTTGTGGATCGCTGCCGACAGGGACATCCAAGCGAACCCCGAGGACACCGACCTTCATGGTGAGTGGGCCAAGGTTTTCCGGGGCGTGGGCTTTCGCTATGTCGTCATTTCAAACGACTTGGACGTGTTCCACCACCAGGAGAACGAGAAAGAGAAGTTAATCACCCTCGGCGACGCTGTCACGCCCAGTGGCCTGCAAAAGATCATGAAGATCGTGAATTACAAGATCCGGTACTTGCAGAAAGAGCAGAAGGACGACATACCAAATACAGAGCTGATGAGGTGGCTCAAGTCGAAGATTTCATTGTCTCCCAAGTCGGAGCAGTTCTCAGCTGACTACGTGAACCACGCCATCTCCACTTTCGACAACGCTATCTCCAACACTACGATTTTGGGACTTGTGTCGGAGTGCGAGAAGATGGGCACCGCCTCCCCTTTCGCTTTCATTTCTGGGATGCACATCATGGCCACCAAGAGCAAGGTCCATCCTGGCCTTCTCCTCCTCTTCCTCCTGCCTCGTCGTCCTCCTCCTCGTCGTCGTCGTCCTCCTCCTCCTCCTCCTCCTGCCTCCTCCTCCTCATCATCATCCTCCTCCTCCTCCTTCCCAACATGTTTCTATTGTAGTAGAGACATGCTGGCAGCACTGCCAGAGTGTTGTTACCCTCCTCCTCCTCCTCCTCCTCCTCCTTCTCCTCCTCCTTACCCCCCTCCCGCTCACTCGTCGTCGTCGTCGTCGTCTTCGTTGCTTCTCCTCTTCTCCTCCCTCTCCCCCAGGTCCTGAGTGAGACCATTTGGATATTCGCCAGCGCTGTGGACTACGTGAAAATGGATTTCGCTGAAAAAAATGCCTTCGCCACGCGTCATCTCCAGCCAGAACGCGGCAACAAGAAAAGCATATTGGACCTCTTCCTCTTCAAGAAAACCGTCCGCGACTACCTGGTGGACGCGTGGATGTCGGCCAAGCCTTGGCCAAGCGAGATCAAGGCGCTCATCCGGGAGAAGACCAAGGACCACGGGGTATACCGAAAGATGGTCCGTGGGTATCCGGATGACCACTCCCCGAAGGATCGCACTTGGAAGAAGGGCTTCTCCATCAGCGCGAAGCTCTTTTTTGATATGGTCGAGGGCGTCGCGTACGACAGGGAGTTTGACCCGTCACTCAATAATGCAGTAAAGAACCGAAAGAGCGCAGCCGAGGTACTCGAGTACACGCAGTTCAAGGAGAAGATCGCCGACATCGAGAAGCAGATCACCGACGAGGCAGTAGCGAAGGCGGCGATGGATAAGGGGGGCGTGGAGCCAGTCACCACGCCAGCGGGATCCACAGCGCAGGACGGCGTGAAGCTGGATGTGCCCAGCGTGGACTCCAAAGAGGTTGAGGATAAGGAGAAGTTCACCGACTACTGGCAGAAGTACGCGACGGAGTTCCTCAGGACCTACATCACCCTCATCTCGGAGCCTCAGACGGAGGCGCAGCTGGCAGCTGCGTTGACGGCCTGCTCGGTGAGCCAGACCAGCGTTGGCGTGAAGGGCCAGGACTATGTGGCAGCGTTCTTCACAGCAGGGTTGTCATCAGAATCCATCACTGATCCACACACGCGGGGTGCACCATTTCGCAAGGAGAGGCTGCTAAAATGTGGCAAGGCGTTCCTCGCAGCTCGGAGGGATTTACACCGGAGGAACTCGGGGAGCGACGATGAGGAGATAACCATCGGTCCCGGAGACGTTTTTATCGCGCTGGACAACCAGAAGCCTGGCAATTTGAGCAAGTTTACCGACTTCTTGAAAGACTCCCAGGGGAAGAAAGACCATCTTTTCAAGCGCAAGTTCATGCTGGTGTACGACTTCCACACCCTTAAGGCCCGCAGGCACCGTTCCAAAGGAATTGGCACCCTGAAGCAGGAGGAGACCATGATCGCAGTGACAAGCGGCGCAGCGTTGCAGGTCCCATCGAAGATGCACACCAAGTACCAGGGCCATAACAACGGGACGTGCATCGGGCCGATCAAGCTTACGCCATTCAATGAGTGCTGGACGGTCAGCTTCGACGAGAAGAAAGCCATCTATGGAAAGTTGCGCCTACCAGTTGGGGGATCTGGTGACGACGACGGCGATGATGGCTGCGGCGACGGAGGCGATGGAGATGAGGTTCCCCCGACGATCGCGGAGTTCGAGGCCGCAGCTTCCTGCCTTTCGACGGATCCACCATTCGAGACCCCCAGCAAGAAGACCAAGGTTCGTGCGGGAGCTAACATCGAGCCCATGAGCTACTACAGCATGCCCGAGGAGTTCTTCGCCGATGTCATCGACGCCCTTTGCTTGAAAGATACATTCGACTTCACGCCAGGAGACGGGGCCAATGCCATGGCTCACCTCAGGAGCTGCCGCCAGATTCCCAGGAGCTACGTGGGCATCTGCTTCAACGACGTGCACCTCGAGAAGCTCGAAGCACACTTGATCAAGATGACGCTGAAAGCCTTCTGCACCTCGTCGGATCCGCTCTTCCATCCGCAGTACGCAGCTGGGTTGAAGAACCATGGTGAGGCGGCGGTGCTGGCGCCGACCAAGGGCCCCATTCTCAAGGTTCCCAAGGATTCCGGCGGTGGCGGGGGCCCCAAGGATCCCATCAAGGATACCAAGAAGAACAAGTCCGAGGACGACAAAAAGAAGAAGAAGAAGAAGTCCAAGAAGAAAAAGAGCTCGTCTTCTTCGTCGTCTTCGGAGTCGGGCGATTCGGCATGACGCCACTTGCCCAGGACTGGATTGAGCTAATTTTTTTGGGCCAGTGCGATGCTCAGTTCTTTTTGGCGCCCTGCTATGGGCTACCAGCGAGGACGAGGAGGAGGAGAGGACGAGGAGGAGGAGGAGGAGAAGGATGAGGAGGAGGAGGAGGGGGATGAGGATGAGGAGGATGAGGAGGAAGACGAGGACACGGAGGAGGGAGACGAGGACGAGGAGGAGGACGACGATGACGAGGAGGAGGAGGAGGACGATGATGATGATGATGATGATGATGAGGAGGAGGAGGAGGAGGAGGAGGCTCGAGGGTCGGAGGAGGAGGAGGACGTCGACGACGAGGAGGATGAGGAGGAGGAGGGTAATGATGCTGTGCTGGCCCCGCTCAAATGCCACGCTCTCGGCGCCTCCTGCAGCACGTGTCGTGCATTCGTTTCGGAAGCCAGCGAGGCCAAGTTGGTTCCGATTGTTGGCAGCCCTGCGCGCAGATTCTTCTCAGGCCTCAGCCCATTCGTTCACTCATGGGTTTCTCGTCTCTTGTTCGCCCGTCCCCGTCGCATATTACAGCGTTTCTCGCGCTGGTTCGTTTCTTCTGGCTTGTCGGCATGATTGGGTGATTCGTCGACTTGCAGCGACGCTGGATTTTTTGTCTCTGCCGATGGCATGGGATACAACGTGCACTCAGAGTGCCGGCGCAGAGGCTGGGCGGCACTCCAGCCCCTGGGGCATGAGGAGGAGTAAAACGAGGATGAGGAGGTAGTCGAGAGGGAGGAAGAGGAGGAGGGAGGCTATCTTACATCCCAGACGCGCGCTGTCTTTACACGTTGTTTTTTGGATACGCTGATTCGCTTCAGCAGAAGTTGCAGGAGAATGCATGTCATGTCCAAGCGTCACCGCCACGCAGTTTCCAATCCGTGCTGCGATTCTTTATTCATTGACGCTTTGATCAGAGAGTGTATCAGCATGCAGCGTAGCAGCACGCAGCGTAACTCAGAGGGCCCCAAGACGGGCTCCACGGGGACTCCATGAGGGGTCCCACGAGGGCTTGAGGGCTTTATCATGATATGGTTTGGGGCCCTCTTGGGGGCCTCTTGGAGCCGTCTTGGGGCCCTCTTGGGCCTTTCTTGGGACCCTCTTGGAGCCTTTTTAGGTCTATCTTGGAGCCCCCTGGCCCTGGCCGTCACCGGCACCAAGACTGACCACTCAGGGACAGTGTCGAGGCCTTAGGGTCTTAGGGCCTTAGAGTCTTAGGGTTTTAGGGTCTTAGGTCGTGTCTTACGGTCTTAGGGTCTGAGGGTCTCAGGGTTGTCCGAATGGCGCGCGACTACACAACATCAAGCATACCAACAACATCAACAAACGTCACACATCAAAGAACAAACATACAACATCAAATAACAAATACACCACACAGCATCATCAAACAATAACATCATACATCAAATAGCAAACATACCACATCATGACAACACCACCACGAATCGTCAAACAAACCACAACAAACATACTCAACAGGCAAACGAGCAAAGCGAAACACACATAGTGCCATTATACAAGGCATGCGCTTAAACGCAAAGAGCCAAACACTGAAACCGACGGGCAATTTGAACATAGATCTCACGCGCCTAGAGAGGGGTCGGCAGAGTTCGCTATGTAGCGCAGCCCGATCCCAGCCAGCCCAGCATTCTGGCATCCTTGCCTGATGAGGTTAGCTAATACATGTTGCTATTATAGCGCAGCCCGATCCGAGCCCCCCCTGGCACTCTGGCAGCCTTGTCTTATCTCTACAAACAGTCAATGCAAAAGCATCCTTACCCATCCAGGGAATCCAGGAAATCCAAGGAATGCATCCTTACCCATCCGTCGCCAATTAGACTCAAGCCATTTTGCAACAATGTCGCTCTGGGACGACCCGCGTGCAGGGAGATTCCTTCCGATATGGAACCCTGTCACGCAATGTCTCAACTATCCTTGGTTCGACGGGGACAATATTGACTGGCTCCCTGCTCACTTGTGGTTACACCGCCACAACAACAGAGAGCTGTTCGGCCGCTCGCGGTACATCAAGACGCCCACCCCAGAGCAACAGGACGACGACGACGTCGTCCACGGCACGGACGGCGCGGAGGCGGCCGACGAGGAGGACGTGGACATGGCGGGCAGTGCAGAGAAGCAAGCGGCAAGCGACGACGCCACCAGCAACATCGCCGCAGACCAGCCGGCCACCATCGGCGACATGACGGGTAACGCCGACGACGCGGGCCACGACACGGGCGGCGCGGAGGCGGCCGACAGCCTTCACGTGGACACGGCGGGTAGCGCCGCAGAGCAGGTGGCAAGCGACGACGACGCCAGCATCATCATGTCTCCAGACAGCGCTGCAGATCCAGCGGCCGTTGTCGCGGCCATCGTCGGCGACACGACGGGCAACGCCGAGCACAACGACGCGGGCCACGACGGGAAGGGCTGCGCGGAGGCTGCCGGCGAGGAGGCCGACGTCGACGAGCTGATCACCCCTAGCGGCGACAGAGACCACGCCAGCGCTGGCAGCGAGGAGGGCAGGCTTCTGACTGAGCCCATGCCTCTTCTGAAGCGTCCGCGGCAGTAGGCAAAAAGCCCGAGGAGGTAGTATCCTTGGTCGACGGCCCCCACAAGGCTCCCAGGAGACCCCCAAGAGGCCTCAAGAATATCCCAGAGGCAACTGAGACCATCAAAAACGGCCCTGACTTCCCTGGTCACCTCAACTCGCCTTGGCGTCGTTTCTGGATGGGCTGGTGGGGATACGCGAAGCGTCAAGAATAACTGACGGGACACTGTGTACAACTGCCTGCCACAACTACCTGGGATCAAACACTTGACCGTTGCTGACTCCACCGTCGTCGTCGTCGTCGTCGTTACGTCGTCGTCGTCGTCGTCGTCTGGGCGCCTCTTGGGGAGTCTTGGGGCGCTCTTGGGGGCTTTCGAAGCGCTCTTGGAACTGGGCTCTCTTGGGGCCGTCTCGGGGCTCTATTGGGCCCCTCTTGGGGCTGGGCCATCTTGAAGCCCATCTTGAGGTCCAAGCATCAAGTTTTTGAAGGGTGTGGGCATCTTGGGGGCCTCCTTGAGGGTTTCGAGGGCCTCTTGGAGCCGTCTTGGAACGTTCTTGGGGCCTCTTGGACCAGCCAGGGGGCCATTTTGAAGCATACTGCGCTATCTTGAGCCATCTTGGAAGCCATCTTGAGCTCTCCGAGCCTCTCTTGGAGCCATCTTGGACGCTCAAACGCGTTACCCCCCCCCCGTTCCAAGTCCAGGTAAACCCCTCCCCGAAGGGGAAGGGGGTTGGCTGGTGGGATTCCCCGACTTTGCGAGCAGTCTCCCGCATCCGATGCGCAGGCGCTTCACTCGCCATTGCATCTGCTGGTGGGGATACAACTCTGCTGGTGGGGATACAATAAGTAGCCAAGAAGTGTCCTGGATCCTATCCGTCGAGGGCCCACAATCGACCCATCCAGCGTTGCGTTTGCACAAGAATTCGATGGCGGATGGAGCCATGGCCAAAAACATCGAAGGTCGACGCTCGAAGCTTCAACCTCGATTGAAACAAAACGCGTACACGTCTTCGTCGTCGTCGTCGTCACCCCCCTCCGTCTGTGGCCCCCGACTGCCCGGCCAAGGGGGAGCCAGGCGGAGGGGGGGGCGGACTTTTATGGGAGGGGCGGGGGTGGGGATCGAGGAGGAGGGAGGAGGACGGGAAGGACGACGACGCCGACGACGACGACGACGACGACTGGCCTGCTATGTTCCCACGCTTCGCGTAGCATGGCCTGATTCTTGGGGTTCGAACCTCCATTGGACGTTTTTCCGCCTTTTTGTTCCTGGAGGATCGCCGTCGTCACGGCAGGATCCGCCTGGAGATTCTGGCGCGGGCACACCCCTGGATGGATTTGGAGTCGACTTTCGGCCCCTGGGCCCGGCAGCGGCCGCAGTGGACGACAGCGGCGGCCTGGCGAGGCTTCGACGAGCGCTGTCGGCTGCTGGCTCCAAGCAGATTCGGGCGGTGGGTGAGTGGTGGGTGGGTGGTGGGTGGGTAGTGGGTGGGTTGTGAGAGCGGGAGGTGGGTGGTGGTTGAGTAGGTGGGTAGTGTATGCTGGGTGGTGGGTGGGTGGTGGATTAGTGGTGGGTGAGTGGTGGGTGATGGTGGGTGGGGTGGTGGGTGGTGGGTGGGAGGTGGATGGTGGGTGGGTGGGTGGTGGTGGGTGGGTGGGTGGTTGGTAGGTGGGTGGTGGGTGGTTGGTGGGTGGGTGGGTGGACGGTGGGTGGTGTATGGCTGCTTGGTGGGTGCGGGAGTGGTGGGTTGGTGTGGGGTGGGTGGTGGGTGGTGCAGGGGTGTGTGATGGGTGGTGGGTGGGTGTTGTGTGGGTGTTGGGTGGGTGTTGGGTGGGTGGTGATTGGGGTGGTCCCTGGGTGGAGGGTGGTGGGTGGTCGGTGGATGGGTGGTGAGCGGGGGTCGGTGGGTGGGCGGTGGTGGGTTGGTGGTGGGTGGGTGGTGGGTGTGGATGGTTGATGGGTGGTGGGTGAGTGGTGGGTGGGTGGTTTGGAGCTGGTGAATGGTGGTTGTGTGGGTGGGTGGGGGGTGGATGGTGGATGGGTTGTGGGCGGGTGGTGGCTCGGTGGCAAGTGGGCGGTTCGGGCGGTGGGTGGGTGGCGGGTGGGTGTTGTATGGGTGGTGGGAGCCTGGTGGGTGGGTGGTGGGTGGGTGGTGGGTGGGTATGTGGGTGGGTGGTGGGTGGTGGGTTGTGGGTGGGTGGTGGGGGATACGTTGATAGTTGGCGGGTGTTGGGTGGGTGGTGGGTCGGTGGTGGAGGGTGGATGTGACATGTATGGTGGGTGGGTGGTGGGTGGGTGGTGTGGAGCCAGTAGTGGTGGGTTGTGGGTGTGTGGTGGGTCAGGGGTTGGAGGGTGGTGAATGGGTGGTGAGTGGGTGGGTGGGTGTTGGGTGGTTGTTGGGTGTGTGCAGTGGTGGGTGGTGGGTTGGTATGGGGTGGGTGGTGGGTGGGTGGGGGGTGGGTGGTGGTTGGGTGGTGGGTGGTCGGTGGTGGGTGGGAGGTGGGTGTGTAGTGGTTGGTGGGTTGGTGGGTTGTAAGCGGTAGGTGTGTGGTAGGTGGGGGGTGGTGGGTGGTTGGGGGTGGGCGGTGGGGTGGGTGATGGGTTGGTGGTGGGCGGGTGGTGGGTGGGTGATGGCTTGCAGGTGGGCGGGTGGTTTTTGCCCACGCCGTCCCCTGACTCTTAGCTGCCAAGTGCGTGGTGCTACGCAGTGAGAGGAACATTGAATAACTTTGCTAGACTACAAGGTATATTCGTCCTGACACACATAAGGCATCAACTGATTATGTTTTTTCTGTGGTTTAATGGTATAAGTTTTTCGTGTGGTTTAACGACTGTCTCTGCCCTCATATTTTCACGACTGTCCCCCTCATGGTTGCACGACTGTCCCCCACATGGGGTTTCACAAATGCCTCCCCCCCCCTCATGGTTCCGTGGACAACCCAAACCCAAACCCAAACCCAACCTACATCAACTTCTGTACTGGAAGCCCAAACTACCCTGTGGGGGCTGTGGTGCCCGTGAGACTTGTGGGACCTGTGGGGCTTGTTGGACTTGCGAGCCCTGTAGGACGTGTGGGACCTGTTGGGTCCGCGGGGCCGAAGGGCCGCCTGGAACTTCCTCGCAATACACACCTAAATGAGGCTCCCCAAAAAAAAACATGCACCTCAAAACAAACAAAACAATCCCAAGCCAGAAAACCACACACGCCCATACAATATATGTCATTAAATTGTTCAGGGGACTAATGATGTAATAGTAACCGTCTTAACAATATATTGAGCAATTAAGGAGCCTATCTTGGAGCATCGGGAACCCTCCTGGAGCCAGCCTGGGCGAAAGAAGCCCCTGGGGGGGAGAGGGCTGGTACCCTTGCCCGAAGGGAAGAGGGTCTTGGTAAGAGAAAAGAAAGATATCGCTAGCATGGTTATATTGTATCGACAATGCATTGTAAGGTGCACGTGTTAGTGCAGACGCACGAGAGCACGGCACAGTGGGTGACATCAGACACAATAATCAACAGGAGCGGCACCACCAGCAGCGCGATCAGCAACCCATAGCAAGAGCAGCACCAGCACCAGCATGACAAGCACCAGTAAGTGGTGTCGTTGGCTCAAGCCTGGGCCACCGACCGATTGCAGCGCAGGTTCCCTGACGCTGGATCCCGAATCTCAGTGATGGACCTCGACGAGCTCCTGCCGGACGAGGTGCCTCAGCCCAAGCCCCAGCCCAAGCGTCAGCCCCAGTCCAAGCTGGTGAAGCCGAAGGCAAAACCCAAGCCCCAGCCCAAGCGTCAGCCCCAGTCCAAGAAGTCTACCTCGTCGGAGAAGCCTTCGACAAACAAACCCGTCAAGAAGACTACTGACAAGAAGAATACCGACAAGAAGAAGAATACCGACAAGAAGAAGGCCGTCAAGAAGGCCGTCAAGAAGAATACCGACAAGAAGAAGAAAAGCAGACGTGATCCGTCACCGTGCTCGTCTTCTTCATCCTCCGAGGGGGCCGTGCTCTTGCGCCTGGGGACGTTCTTCAGCGGGCTGGAAACTCCATCGGTCGCCTTGAACCAGATCGGCCTGCCACACAAGTTAGAGTTTGCGATTGAGCTAGAGGACTGCCTGCGGACCCTCATCTACCAGACGTGGCACCCCACGGAGCTGCGCTCGGATGTGAATTCTGTCGACATGAAGGCTTTGCCCGACGTCGACATCGCTGTTGGGGGAGCTCCGTGCCAGCCATTTGCCAAGGGTGGCTCATTGAAAGGCATGGAGGATCCACGGGGGCGTCTCGTCTACAAGATGGTCGAGTACGTGGAGGCCAAGGCCAAGGCTAATCTTCCATTGCCGCGCGCCCTCCTCATGGAGCAGTCCAAGACCTTGAAGAACAAGTGGAGCGACGTTTACGACAACATCAAATCTCGTCTTACCAAGCTAGGCTACCGCTTCAAGTCGACCTTCGTCAATACCAACCTCCATGGAATACCCCAATCACGCGAACGGCTTTACATGGCGGCCTACTTCAAGGTGCACAAGTTCCACTTTCCCGAGGAGTTGAAGACAACCATTCCCATTGAGAAGATGTTGCACCCGATGTGGCAGACCGACTTGAAGACCACGCTTGTCCCAACAAACGCAGTGGCGCGGATTGACCAGGCCCGCAAGGAAGCGGCGGACAGCGGCTACAACCCCGACGTCGACACCGTCTTCGTCGACCTAGACTCGTCAGAGCGTTTCTGGAGTTGGAAGGTTGATGAGAGCATGACGTTGACGAGAAGGCGATGTGAGGGTGGCGGCTGGTTCATGACGAACCGCGGTCGCCGGCAGACTGTCCGTGAGATGCTCGCGATGCAAGGGATCGTCCCGCGTAGTCTGGGGGACACAACTTGCATGTCTAGGACGGCGCTGCTGTCTGCGATCGGCAATGCCATGTCAGTCAACGTACTGGAGCGGATCCTGCCCCGCATCGCCTGGTCCATCGGTAAGCTGCCCCAGAAGATGCACGTCTGGGATGATGAGTCCTGGGCGCTGAGGGGAGGCCGTTTCAATGACGAGTCATCGTGGTTTCTCTGAGTGAGGGCTGGCGATTCCAATATGTTGCTAGGGTAGTGGCTAAGTACAGGAGGAAGTATGCATAAAATTTACAGCTCTAGCAATTTGATTGGGAGTTGCGCGTGGCTGAGGCTAGCGCGAGGCTGAGACCTCCCTGCCTCTGCGAACAAAGGCTTAGCGACGGACCAGGGCGAAAATCAACGCGGCTTCCGCCTAGTGCCGCCAACCCTGCCTTGTTGCGTTTTGCTGGGCTTGGCTTGTGGTGCCTCTCTGGCGGGGTGGAGTCTCGGGCCCTCTGGCTGCGCGCGAGGCCCTGCTGGGCCTGGGGGGCTTCGGCTTGAAAATTGTTCCGGAGCGTGTTGGGTTTTAGGATTCTTGGGCCATGCACTGGGCATTCTGGGCACGTCGAGGCTTCGAGCCAAGGGGAGGCCCCGTAACCGCATAAGCATGCAGCACGACGGCCAGCAACACGTGCAGGAGCCAACATCCACATCACGAATGGCAAACGTAGCAACGCAACAGTCAGACTCAGCAGTTGTCGCGGAAAGTCGTGGTGGTATGCGTATACGGCGTATAAAGACGCATAACAGACACATGCACGTATACAACCTCATATCCATAAGCAATTGCAGCATGCGCGCAATCACGGAAACCCATGAATGCGTATACACGTACATACGTGGATGCATACCCGTGCGGATTCCTAACATACACGTTCACATATATACCCACATGGGCACACACGTCAAACGCATGCATGGATCTATGGAGCGATACACATACGCGTATGCATACATGCACATGATCTCGCTATCGCACATATAGGCGTACATATATGTAAATGCCCAACCCTACACGAACGCGGGCATGTATGCACACCCTGGCTATACTTTGTATATGCTGATCGGTTCGCACTCGCGAACGTACACATAAACGTATACACGCATATACGTGTACTATCCGTACATGTACATGTGTGCAGGGTTACAAAACAGTGTTCGGGCATACGTCGACTCCAATGCATACGCATCATCAAATTCTATCAAATTCTGGCATGTATATATATGCATAGTTGCACGAGTAACTACATGTATACACGCGCATCTATACATACATGTATTTCTGTGTCTACGTATATATATATATATATGTTTGTATAGATACGTGTGCGTAAACATAGCTGTAAATACATATATGTGATATATATCTAAATATGTATGGTTGTATATATGTATGTATGTATGCATGTATGTATGTATGTATGTATGTATGTATGTATGTATGCGTACACATACATGCATACACATATATATGTATATATATATATATACATATATATATAAGAGAGAGAGAGAGAGAGAGAGAGAGAGAGAGTGTGCCAGCGAGAGGGACATATACAAGTACATACAGAGACAGAGACATATGCATAGACAGAGACAGAGATGGAGGACGAGGGGGAGGAGTCCATGAGCCGACGGGGAGAGCGAAAAACGCTAAACTTTAGCTATGCCCTGGCAAGAAGGCGCGGAGGCCCGGGAAGAATGGGGGGAGCACGGGGGCAACGGCAGAGGGGCGCAGGGGAAGAGCGGGGGGAGGGCGCACGGTCGGAATCAGGCCAGGGGGGCCCGGGGAAGGCGGGGGGCACGGAGGCAAGAAGAGGGAGGCGCAGGGGAGGGGCGGGGGAGGGCGCACGGTCGGAATAAGGGGAGGGGGGCCCGGGGAGGACGGTGGGAGCGTGGAAAGGGGGAGCGCGGGGAGAGGGCGCACGGTCGGATAAGGGGAGGGCCGGGGCCTGGGGAGGGCGGGAGCACGGAGGAGCAGGCGCGGGAGTCCGGGGGGGCGCGGGGGGGAGCACGGGTGCAAGGGGAGAGGGGCGCAAGGGAGGAGCGGGGAGGAGGGGCGCACGGTCGGAATAAGGGGGGGGGGCTCGGGAAAGGCGGGCGGAGCGCGGGGGAGAAGGCGCGGAAGCTCGGGGAGCGTGGGGGGAGCACGGGGCGAAGGAGCGGGGGGAATGGGAGGAACAGGGGGGCAGGTGCACGGTTGTAATAAGGGGAGGGAAGCCCGGGGACGGCGGGGGAAGCACGGGGGGGGCGCGACGAGGACGGGGGCAAGAGGAGGGAGTCGCAGGGGAGAGCGGGGGGAGGAGGGGGGGGGCGCACGGTCGGAATAAGGAGTGGGGGGGGCTCGGGGACGGCGGGGGGAACACGACGGAGGAGAAGGCGCGGGGGCCGGGGAGCGTGGAGGGAGCACCGGGGCAAGGAGAGAGGGGCGCAGGGGAGGAGCGGCGGGGGGGCGCACGGTCGGGATACGGGGAGGGGGGCCCAGGGAGAGCGGGGGAAGCACGGGTAAGAGGGGCGGGGGCGGGTGGGAGGAGGACTTGGGCAAGAGGAGGGAGGCGCAGGGGAGAGCGGGGTGAAGAGGGGGGGGCGCACGGTCGGAATAAGGAGTGGGGGTGGGCTCGGGGACGGCGGGGGGAGCACAGAGGAGAAGGTGCGGTGGCCGGGGAGCGTGGAGGGAGCACGGGGGCAAGGAGAGAGGGGCGCAGGGGAGGAGCGGCGGGCGGGCGCACGGTCGGAATAAGGGCAGCGGGCCCGGGGAGAGCGGGGGGGGAGCACGGAGGAGAAGGCGCGGGGGGTTGGGGAGCGTGGAGGGAACACGGGGGCAAGGAGAGAGGGGGGAGGAGCGGCGGGGGGGCGCACGGTCGGAATAAGGGGACGGGGGCCCGGGGACGGCGGGGGAAGCACGGGGGAGAGGGGCGCGGGGGCGCGGGGAGTGTCGGAGGAGGACGGGGGCAAGAGGAGGGAGGTGCAGGGGAGAGGGGGGGGAGGAGAGGGGGCGCACGGTCGGAATAAGGAGTGGGGGGGGGCTCGGGGACGGCGGGGGGAACACGGAGGAAAAGGCGCGGGGGCCGGGGGGCGTGGAGGGAGCACGGGGGCAACGAGAGAGGGGCGCAGGGGAGGAGCGGCGAGGGTGCGCACGTCGCACGGTCGGAATAAAGCAGTGCGAGATCACACCGGTAGGTATGATGATAACCTCTCGCACCCCGGGGCCAGTTTTTTAAGGCGTGCCCGGCGTTCCGCCAGAGATTTCATCATTTACGGCCCTGAAGCTGAAACATTGGCGGCAGCTTCACAGATGGAGGACGGGTCGTCTCCAGAATGCGGCTCTCGCCTCGGCGCTGCGCACATTCGTTTCAAACCTTTGCAAGAGTTTCACGGATTGAGAGCGAGGGCCGTTTTCAAATGTGGCCCGCACCTCACCGCGGCGCACACTCGTGGTAGAAAATTGCAGGAGCTCCGCGGGTTGAGGGGGGGGGGGCGTTTTCAGCATGTGGTTCTCGCGTTAGTGCCGCGCACACTCCTTATATGTTTATATGTATGTATATATATATATACATATATATATACACATCTATATACACAAGACTGCAGTGGCGCTTCGCGCCATGCACCTTGGTCCTTGAAGTTTGGTATGCAGGCGGACTAGCGGGAAGGTCAAGCCGACAATTTAGCGATAACTCTTTTTCCGGCATCGCCGCTACAATAATGTTATTCGTTATCCTTCCTCCGTGCTTCTTATTCCTATTCGCCATGCCCTGCGCATTCTCCCCATCCTCCTCAGCTCTTTTTGCGGAGGCTCCTCCTTGGAGAGCCTCTGGGGGCCTCATGGGTGTGTTCTGGAGGCTTTCTTAAGGCCTTCTGGAGGCCTCCTGGGCGTGTTCTGGGGGGTTCTGGGGGTTTGTCGGGCCACCCTGCCTCCAACCGCGGTTTCCCTGAACGACCGGGTCACGGTTTGGAATGCTTCGGAGGGTGTCTTAGGGCCATCTTGGGCCGCCATGGGGCTCCCTGAGGGCCATCTTGGACCACTGTTGTGCCGTTTGGGGGCTCTCTTGGACTGCCTGGAAGCCCTTTCGGATGGTTGTGGGGCGATTTTGGAGCCTCCCAGGCGGCTTCGGACGCCCAGAAGACCGCCGTCTTGGAGCGTCGGGAAGCCGAAAAGAGGAGAACCCCAAAATAAGCCATAGACCAACAAAATCAAGGATTTTCGCCTCTTGGGGCCTTCTTGGGAGTGCTCTTGGAGGCCTCTTGGGACGTTTCGGGACGATCTTTGGGGGTATGACGGCTTCTTGGGGGTCGTCGTCGATCGTATTGGGGCTCTCTGGGGTCGTTTCGGGGGCGCGCCACGTCCTGCGAGGCCCTGGGGGCCGCTACGAGGCCCGTCTGGAGGGTCCCTAAGCCCCACATCCCGGGAGTCGGGTTTTTTTTTGGGGGGGACGGGTTTTCCCCCCGCCCAGGCTTGTGAACATATAGAAAGAGGACTATATATATATATAGAGAGAGAGAGAGAGAGAGAGAGAGAGAGAGAGATGCACGAGCTTCACTGGTTGGGGCGCCTTCGCGCCGCGCACACTCGTCGCAAGCATGTGCAGGAGCTTCGCGCATGGAGGGCAGCTCCTTTTCATCATGTGGTTATCGCCTTAGCGCTGCGCGCATTCGTTTTTGTTTACATGCAATAACCTGAGGAAGTCTTGAGTTTTGCTCTCCCCCCCCCCTGGAGCTCTGGGCGGTGAATAAACTCGTCCCGAAACTCGTCCGCTCCCGAGACCTCTCCTCCTCCTCAAGATGCAGCTCTCGCCCTAGCGCCGCGCACATGCGTCTTCGTCTTCGTCGTCGCATCGCTGTCGTAGTCGCAATCGCACACGTACTCGTTATCGTCTTCGTCTTCGTCTTCGTCGTCGGACCGCCCGAACTATAATTATTTTCCGCTATTGACTGGCGGGGGCGTTTTTCCGAGTTGTCAATAAATTCGCCCGAATGATCTGTATTTTCCATCTACTGGCCAGGGGATTTCTAAAGACTTATGTGGGTTAAATTCCAGAGTTTCACGGGTTCCCATGATCAACGTACCAGAAATGGTGCCTTGGAAGGATTTAGGATTATGAGGGTGCAAAAGTTATTTTGATTCGCGGTGTTGAAGTCCCAGGAATGGCTTCCTGGCACGGTTCAGGATTGTCAAGACGC